ATGAGACCTCTCGAGCGCCCCCACGGTTGGGGTTATTGGAGAGGGTTCACGGGTTATTTGATTCTTACTCAATGGTACTGCCGTGATCGCTAGAGCACAGACGATTAGAGAACGGGTAAACGCCTTGGGACTAAGCCTTAGAGAGAAGAGGGACCAGCGAGAGCGCAGAGGCGGTTTAAAGGGCTGAGTTCAAGTAAGTCGTCGACTATTGGAGAGACATTTGTTTTTCAATTTCACGCTCTGACAGAGACGAGGCAGCCAGAAACACAACATAATCATGTTATCTGATCTTGGACGGTTCTGATTGGCTTTCCATTCAACAAAAGGACTTATCCCTACTAGATCTCATCCAATACTTTTGCATACTCTCCGAAAACATTACAATCCTTTAGCTGGAGGTCACAATCTGTTTGGAGAGTCTAAGTATGTGTCTCAAGCAGCGAAAGATGATGGGATCATTTGTATCCAGAATCGCTAGCTTTTGAAGTTGCTTGGCCTAATAAAACCAAATTTTTCATGAACAGAGTTTCTCCAAAATGGGCTCAACCCGCCAGTAAACCAGTTCTCCATCGAACCCGCTCCTTTCACGCACAGCTCTGTCGAACTAGCGAAGGAAACGCGCATTTGGCGAGCAAATTGCGATCAATCGTGGGCATGGGTGATGGGGCATTTTTAAAACACTATACTATGCGAATATTCCAAAAAGAGAGAGGAGATCGAGAAAAAAAGCAGAGCTATCTAAATCAAGGTGTGCCTGTTGTTGAAAATAATTCAGAAACGGCCGCCACAATTTCTAATATTGTTATTTGCTTAAACTGGCGGAATAGGACGCGCAATCTAGCCTTTTTAAACATCTCATTCAATTTTCGAACTCACAATTCCACGTCAGAAGCAAAGGTCTATAATTACCCAAACAACGACGGGTCAAATGAGGAACCTATATCGATTGAAAAACTACTTACGCCAATTTTGGTTGATAATTCGTCAAAATCATAAATCCTATATCTCTACTTTGTCATTTACTCAAATTCCGGTATGAAATTCAACAAATCCTGTGCTTTGTATGATATTCAGAAATCCCACTTCTGCTGAAGCACTCTTTTGTGTACAATAGATTTGGATTGTACAACTAAGGAGAACTACGAGAGTTAACATAAGCACCAGATCCGTGTATCGGAAGGAAAGCATTTGGATTCGATTGAGAAGGGGAGAAATAAATGTTCGATATATTAATAAATCAGCCTAATAACCGGGAGTCAGCCAAAAGGAAACACAATCAAGCAGAGGCGAGTAATATATTACACAGTACAAATCGCTGCAAGAAAAATCTGCTTAATCCGTCAGAGAAGATATCTACGCGATGTGAAGATCCGGGCAGTGGATATTGCTGAACCCGAACGGCGAAGAGATCAGTGAGAGGAACGGACGCCAGTAGATTGAAACAACTGGGCAAGGTCTAAGGAAAGGGAACGGGTAGCAGCACGGATCTAGCTGAACAACAAAGACTCAAGAAGATCATCTATTTGTCGAATTACAGAGATAATAGTCGTCGCCTGTATTTGAGGACGAGGAGCAGACATCTTATCATAAGTGGAGAGCTCGTTTACGAGCGAGCCTACACAATCTGACACGTCGAGTAGATAAAACTTCGATGAGATAGCACTAGAGATACTAATGATCCATGCTCTGTCATAGTGTCATACTTAATATAATAGTAATTAGCAGTTTGGCAAAGTAGCTTATATCAGGCGAGAAAAGCAGTGAAGGTACGAAAGTTATTTAAAAAGTAACTCACGTAGTGAGAGCTACGGAGAATATCAGAAAAATAGAAGATTGGAACAAAAGTTATAGAAACGCCCAGACGAAATAATGATAAGTACGTTCGTTGCTTCTCTAGCTAGCCGAGTTTATAGCGACTCTATAGGTTGTCAAAGTGCACAGTCTTAAGAGCTCATATCCGATGAGAGTTGAGGAACTTTAGGTCAGAGAAGTAAAAAGAGCGAGAAAATGAACCGGGGCGCGGAAATATTAAAAGTTGGCGAAAATCCAGGGAAAGACGAATAAACCTTGAGTAGACGTACAAAATTATCATGCAGAGGAGCATGCAATGGGCATGCAATGAAATTAATTGTATATTTACTAAAGTGATTATAAATTGACAAAGTATATGTAAAAACTTTTATGAAATTAAAAAGGTGGAAATGTTTGTAGCTGTCCACTGAATTAAGCATAAGCTATTGATTGAGTATTCCTTTAACTAGTTTATTAACATTTTTATAATTATTAGCCATTGAGAATTTATAGCATATAAACTTATTTTTATAAATACACTTTAACTATATTAGATCATAATAAAGTCATATGATAAACCATTTCCTAAACTCAAGCAATATGAAACGGTGCGGCACACGCAAATTCTCAAATTTAAAATTCGATAAACCACACAAACTATTCGACTATTTCTTTCAACGACAACAGATTCCACACTGCAGTGGTTTTTTTTTACCTTCGACAATAATGGTGTGGAGCGATGCGTTAGCGGCCATTAGCGCATAAAAAGTGTGACAGAGCAGAAAACTCACATTGGAAAGCCGCTGGAAACGGAGCTGAACGGCTTCCCAAGTGGGCGTGGTTGGAATCGGCCGAGGGATTGCAGCCGATTTCAACCACGCCCACTTCGAAGCCGTTCAGCTCCCTTTCTAGCGGCTTTCCAAGGTGAGTTTTTTGTTCAGTCACACTTCTTATGTTCTTGACTAGGGCTAGCGCATCGTTCCACACCATTAGTGTCGAAGGTAAAACCCTGCTGGGACTGTTGCTTTAAGCTAGATTCTATTATGACTTTGGATTTCGGTCCCCCACTCTTTGCATGACCCACCCTCCGATGGCTTTTGACATTTCCTCCTTCGTCAACCATCGTCCGCTTTTCCCGGGCTCCCTAAACTCTCCTACTCTGCCTACTGCACTTCTCGCCCACCGAATGCACTTGACCTTTGCCCACTTTGGTGCATCCGACCTCTACCCACCTTTTTCTAGCTTTCCAAACCCCCTCAGAATTCAATTATAAGGATTAGTAGGAAACGCTGCCCACTTCAGGACACGCTCCGCCCATTGTGGGCGGGCCTCCGCTCACATCATGTATGCTGGGAACACCTTAGACATTGCTCCCTACACCAATTGTTTTCTGCTCTGTAGGCTTTCTCCCAACCGAGTTATGAAATTTTTCATAAGCACTGCTTTTTTAGAGAACGCCCCGCCCACCACAGGGTGGGTCTCCCTAATTCGATCTGACTTACCAATGCACACCTTTACCCATTTTTCCCAGTCTCGAGGCTGTTTTGGAACCAATCTTGAAATCTTGGTCCTCAGTACCACTCATTTCGACGCACGCCACGCCCACTGTGGGCGGGGCTCCGCTTAGCTGATGTGTGTTTTGTACTTCTCGAGACCTGGCCCACCCATCCCACACTTGACCCGGTCTCTCCAGGCAGATCTGCAGAGTAGGAAATTTGTGACAGACACCGTGACAGAACTAAAGACGAGAGGGTATTTGAAGTAACATTGTGTTGATGAATGACCAAAAGGACAAGAACATAAAATGAAAGCTCGCCTCGGGATTACCGCTGGAGTATCCCATTCGTTGGTGGGGCGCTTTACGCAGAGGTAGCCTTGCTCCCTTTCACATTGCTCGAAAATAGGCGACAAAGCGCTAGAACCTTGCCAGTGCGCACGATTACTGGTCATGAGTGGCACTCTTTCAATTGTTGTGTAGAGGCCCTGCGTCTTTCCCCTCTCGTACGACATGCAATTCCACTCACTCTCGCTTCTCTGCACACCTTGTCTCTCTGGCGCACCACGGCCGACCTTGCAAGAAGTTTAGCCTGTGATTTCGATGGATTCTGTGGCTTATTTTGTCACCTTCAGTCCACTCCTCATTTCCAACATCATTACTGAGCGCTTTTATACACCGATTTCATCTAGGGAAGTGTCTTCTATGCTAGAGCATAATCAACTCATTCATAATAGAAGATCGATTTGAACTGATACCTGATGCTGCAGTGGAAACGAATTCTCTCATGCCCCGTTGGTCTCTCTGAAAAAGACTTTTTCGCAAGGTTACTGGCACAAAGTTTTTGTAAATTGCACCAACCCCGGAATAATTGTCTCCTTCTCCAAACCCAGTGTTTCGAGATCCGAAACCTGAGTCGTTTTTCCGAGGTCCACGTCGATCGCGATCATCGTGTTCATCACCATCCCCTATCAAAAGAGACAACTTTGAAAGGAGTCACAGCATCAGCTTGTCAGTGATGTGAAGAGTTTTCGTCAATTCAAAACGAAAAACCATTCTGATATGCAGAAAACACTACAACTACTCTTTTACCAGAAATCGACCGAATCAAAAAGCTGTGAGGCTGTAAAAATTGGAACAAAGTAGAAAACAATGCTCTACATCCAAAACCTTCATAACTTTACCTATTCTGAAGTTGAAGCCACCTTATATTGTTTTGTGCAAAATACAGTTTACTGCCGCAAGACTTACGGTGTATTTTATATCAAGATCGCTGCTAGCAGAAGTAAGCAAGGATAGGTTCGTTTCCCATTAGTAATGGGTATAAATGCACATCCACACCTAATGTGAATTATACGAAGCAAGTTTCTTTTCAGTATAAAATGTCGCCCCCATAAAGCACATAAAATCACTGAGCCATACTAGCGCGCAGCGCGGTCTACGCAACGGTCTCGTTGCGCTTATCTTACCTCACCTAATCTTGCTCTGCTCAAAACCATTTCTCGCATTATCACTGTCGACCCCGACCTCCCAAAAAACCTCTGGGCTTGACGGCCCTTTTTCTTTTGTAGCGGCCACTCTCGTACCTATTCCTTGATTTCTATGCCAAATAACCACAAAGGAATATTTTGACTGCATTTTTCACGCCAAGAACTCCCCAATCTAAGTTTCTGGAAATCATGCATATCGCATACTAACTACTAGGGTAGAAGAAACTGGTCAAGATAGAATGCTCTACTATGACGAAGTGAAAGCAAAAGGGATCGCGCGCACTGAATACAACAAAGTGAGCGGCGGTAGGAACGAACTATTCGTGGTCAGACTCAAACTATGGCATGGAAATAAGCTAAAGATATGTGAGGCTAAGATAATTTCGTCACACTTTACAGCTCTAGTAGATCATCGAAACAGGTCAGTCTCCTCTTCCCCTCATATTCAGAGCGTACCTTTCGGGAGTATGAATGCTATGAGGTATTATTCAACCATTCTCCAAGTTACAGGCAATTCCATGATGATAGGATGTGGGTAGATAAGTTAAATACGAAAAAGCAAATCGGATCTCTCCTAACAATTGAAAAGGTTCGAAAGTACCCGTTTAAAACCACGAACCCCTTGAACGGAACCTCATTCGTATATTTACGAGCGTTATTGAGCCTACGATGAAAAAAGTGAGTATTAGGATAAGAGGCTCTGACGACAAACGAATCAGGAAAACACGCATGAGACGCAACAAGGGCCAAACTACCCGCCGTGCCTTTCTGATTGGTTTGCACATTCCAGTAGTCCCGACAAATGGCTTTAAAAGCAAGTGGTACGACACAGTGAACGTTGGGGAAGGGTCTAGAGAAGTAAGGGAACGAGAGGTGGCGCTTTCACAGCGAAGGGCTTGTAACAAGGCCTTAACCGCTGTGACGGCAGCTTCCGTGTGAAGCCCCATCCCCAAATGGCCGACACAGCCTAAGTTCTTGCAACGAGAGAGTGTAGAAAGATAGAGTAAGGTACTAACACTGATGACGTCATTACCGTACAATTTGGCTGCATGCAAAAATTCGCCATGAAAATGGGATAAAAAGCATTCCACTTCGCGATCTTTAGGCCCTTTCTCTTCGCAAACAATGCACCTTTACCACCCCATTTTCATTCCAGAAATGAACATTTCAACGCACCATCTGCCTCTATGCTGTCATTCGTACATCCAACTTATTGTTAGTCGACAACTGCAACTGTCATCTGGGTGAGCAGGCTACAGATCGAATTATGCTCATCGAACCACTCTGTTCGAATAGGGGCGATAACCACTAACCCCATAACCTATAGGCGTTGCGAGACATACTGGACAATGAAGGACAAATGGACACCCAAAGGAATCGCAGAGCTACAAGCATCACAAAAGCATCGCATCAAAACCAATTAACGCTTTTGGGAGAATATATGGGCGAGCTTTGCATTTCAAAAAAACTGTTCCATTCAAAATATTGTTTTGGTGAAATGTTGAAATAGCTTACA